GCCATTTCCAGTGGCTTTTCTATGCAAGCTGTCTCTTATACACATCTAGATGTGTATAAGAGACAGGGGTGGAGTGGGTCATTGGGGAGATAAAAGGGACATTTGTAATATTTTAAATTAAGGAATAAATAAATAAAGTCTGAACTAACAAAAAAAAACAAAAAAAGGTTTCAGGTTCAATCTCCAGTTGGGATGAGTACGAGAGGCAACTGGTCAATGTTTCTCTCCCACATTGATGTTTCTTTCTCTTCTCTGTCCCTTCCTCTCTCTCTAAAAAAAGGATTTAGTTTTCCTGACAGTACTGCTGAGTGAACTGTGCACCTCTGAGGGGAGGTAGGAAGATCAAGTGGAGATGTCCTTCCAGCTCTCATCACTACCAGTCTGAACAATTTCTTAGAAAGTCACAAAGGTAGATGTGAGCTGCAGAAAAAATGGGCTCAGGAAACAAGCTACCTCTAGAAGCAAAAGGAAAGGCCCTTGGAGCTTAGGAGAGAGAAGGGTAAAGGTAAGGAGCCTGTGGGAAAGGGGAGGGGGGACAGGAAAGGCTCAGGTGTGCTCCAGAGAGGGAGAGCGCTCAGCCTGAACATTTTCAACAGTTCCTAACAAGGTCCCTGCCTATTCCCCCCCATCCTTTCTCTACAATGAGCCATGAGTTCTATAACCTGGCAGTGTCACGCCTCAGCTTAAACCCTTCAATGGCTCTGCATTTGCCTACAGAATACAACCCAAATTCCCAAGCATGACATTGGAAGCCCTTCCCAGGCTGCTCCCCAACCATTCTTTCCCGCATCATTTCCCACCTTTCTCCATATCCCAGGTGTCCGGAAAGTGAAGAAAGGTGCTGGAGAAGAGGGGAAGGAGGAACCGCAGGAACCAATATTGTCCCAAGCACTTCAGACCAGCAGTATTCCCTGACCCTTTTTGACACACACAGTTCCTATTGCCTGAAATGTCCTTTCCTCCTCCTTGTCCATCAGAACTCAAACGACGCCTCTTCTGTGAGAACTTTCCCCATGATTGTCGCTTATTCCTCTGACTGTTGGTACTTCAAATATTGCTGTTACAACACTCCATGCACTGCACTGTGATGAACGATTTTTCAGTCTGTCGACCACTGCC